AAATGTGGTATCACAGAAGCTAAGAGAAAAGAGCGTTTCAATTCGGAGGGATAGATTAACTATCAAATGCTACCAAGAACTCAGATCTGCTAACGAATGAAGAGGATTCAATGACGATACAGACACTGCAATGGCTAACTCAGGAAGACATCGGTTTCGACGAGTGGTGGTAGGAACATCCATGAGAAAGGAATTCACGGATGGTGAAGAAATGAACAGAGAGATTACACTCGAGAGGGGCTGGCTGTAGGGGTGCCTGGGGGGCTCAGTCGGTTGAGCGTCCTGACTTTGGCTCAGATCATGAACTCACTGATCATGAGTTCGAGCCCCGCGTCGGGCTCTGTGTTGGCAGCTCAGAGCCCGGAGCCTGCTTTGGATCCTGCGTCTCCTTCTCCGTGGCTCCCCACCCTGCTTTCTCTGTCCCTCTCTCTCTCAAAAATACATAAAGATTAAAAAAATTAAAAAAAAAAAAAGAAGGTTGGCTGTAAAGGGAGAAGAGAAAAATAAGGTGGAGCTGGAGTGGGAGGTAGAGTCAAGGATTTTTTTGTTTTTAAAACCTCCGGAGTCTCCAATGTTGCCTAGAAGGTGGCAATAGGGGGGCTACTTTGAAGATACGGACTGGAATCAAGCATACTCACGGAAAGATCAGCCTTAAGTATGGGGCAAAAAGAGTGAGAAGTGTAGATCCAGACACACATAGGCATGGAGATTTGCTTCCAGGAAACTGAGAGAACTTCCTCTGAAGGTTTCTGTATGTTGTTGATTGGAAAGTCCATCCGCGGAGAGAGCTGGGCTTCCGAGGACCGTCGGAAGATCTGGAGAAATTGTTGACGAGTGTGGAAAGAGTTGGCCATGGGCAAAGGAGCCAGGCTGCCAGACTGCTGGGAGTCAGTGAGCCAGGAGATGGCCATGACTATTTCCTCTTCACATGCGAGGAAAGCAAGCTCAGAGAGGTTAAGTAACTTGCTCAAGGCTCCAAAGTACGTAAATGAAGGAGCTGGGATCTGAAGACAGGCCCCTGTGACTGTTTCCAGCACACCAGACTAAATGAATTCCTTGGTCCAGGGGAATAATTTTAGTTTCTGGAAAGAGACTGGTATTGGAGGCTCAAAAACCTCATTCTTACCTCTCCCTTCACATTGTCCACATCTATCGGTTTCGCCTGAGACCCCACACTTCTGACATCTCATCTGGACTCAAAGACGGTCTCAGGAATAATCAGTAAAGGATCATGGCATATGATAGAAATTCTTCTTCTACATACTAAATACCGCTTAGAAACTCCCGTTCAAATGAGCTTAAAAGCAAGCAGGGAGTTTACAGAAACCTTAGCACCACGATTGTTCCTTAGAATTATATTTGTAAAATACAAATAAAAGAGGACTGAATGAACAAAAGTACTGTATTTAGAAGCTACCACGAGTCAATTGTCTCACTACGTTTAGCACAGTTAATTCGCCCAGTGAGCCTTGTTCAGAATTCTAAGGATTTCTTAAGGGTTGTAATCTAGAATTTCTAAAGAGATGACGTGATATGATATATTTCTCTGGATAGTTTATAAAACTGAAATAGTGGACGATGGTGTATGGAGACTGGAGGATCATCACAAAGGCTTAAAAGCCATGATTTTAAAGCACCTCCCCCTTCTTGCAAATGCAGTCCTGTCGCGCTCCCCTGAGCCCTGTGTCTTTAAGTATTTAAAAGATCCATACCAAGAAGCTTTACTTGGAAAAATGGAAATAAGAATTCCTTATAATTTAGGTTTTTTTTGGGGGGGGTAGAGAGGGTACTATTCAAGAAATAATAAAGAAGACAGGTGACTACTGTTTAGGTCACAGTTTGGACAAGGTCTGAGTCAAGAGCTGGCCTTCTTTCCAAAAGGAAACATTCGTATGAACTCCCAGGGCAGCTGGCCGGCTGGGGACTCAGCTTTCCTCCAGGGAACCTAACTCATCCTGGGACATCTGCTGACTGTTCCTTAGGTAGGGGGCTTCTCCACAAGGCTTGAAAGAAGTGACTTTACTTCCATGGAGATACAGCTGTTCCACAGGCACATAAAAACCGAACCCAGTGCATTCTAGGGTCACCTGGGGCACTGCAGTCCCTCTCAGAGGAGGGGACTTTCAGAACAGTGTTTTTTTGAAACTGTGGACCACAGTCTTTTGCAAACTGTGGAATTATCGAAGTGAGTTTCAACCAGCACTCGTATAACTGGGAAACACAATAAAATAGAGCGAAAACAAAAAACAAAAAAACAAAGAAAACCAGGTGTGTTTCACACAACGAGGATAAGCATTATTTTGGGAACCAGATTTCAGATGTGTGTGTGGGGGGGGGTATGCGGATTCCGACATAATGCAGATTTCTCTCTGCGGTCATACAGGATAGTTGCAAACTCTTATCAGCCACAGAATTTCTGAAGCCGTATGTACATGACATTCTTTCAAATGCCTGGAACTGACAGGATCCCAGACAGTTCATTCCAAGGTTGTCCTAAAATCTTCTCACAGATCTGAACCACCGAGCACCTTGACCAACGTTACAAAGTAAACAGGTGAAGAAGCTAAACTTTGAATAGCGGTTTAGGCGAGCCGAGGAACGTTGATGCAGGCAGAGGAGGGATTTCTTGGCCAAATCCCAGGAACCAGCACGAGGCTCGAGGAGCATCTCTGAATCCACACTTTCTCGGTATTATGCTTTTTGAGTATTGTGAAACTTAATTAGCCTATTTTCATTTTCAGCATACTAACAGGTCAGGATGTAGTAAAATAAAACGTGTCTACAATAAGCCTTTTTCTCTTTAGTCTAATTTCTTGGGCCTGTAAAAAAAGTTCTCTACATGTGTGGGTCGTTAAGTGCATCGGGCCTTTTTTACAGAAACCATCTACTTTAAGAGACAGGCTACATTTCAATCCACATAGACTAAAAATAAACACTCTTAATTTCCGTGCAGTTACTCGATCAGTTCACATGTGGGTTATCAGTATACGAAAAATTACATAATTGTTTACTTAATTGCAATTTCCCTCACCTACTGTTTTAATTACTTCGGGTGTGGGGACATATTAGTCACCAGCTTGCAGCTTCTTGGAACGTGGAGAGCTTTGTATTAAAAGGCTCCGTACAGGGGCGCCTGGGTGGCGCAGTCGGTTAAGCGTCCGACTTCAGCCAGGTCACGATCTCGCGGTCCGTGAGTTCGAGCCCCGTGTCGGGCTCTGGGCCGATGGCTCAGAGCCTGGAGCCTGTTTCCGATTCTGTGTCTCCCTCTCTCTCTGCCCCTCCCCTGTCTCTGTCCCAAAAATAAATAAACGTTGAAAAAAAAAATTTTAAAAGGCTCCGTACAGGTGTGGGGCCAAGGGTGTTTGTTATTACTATGAAAATCCTACGTCTTATAGAATTCCTCAGTCTCCCCAAGAAGGAAGAGAAACGTCATAGGGTATTGTTGTTAAAATAAAACAGAAGATGAGAACACAGAGACCAAAAAAAACCCCGACGGAAGCGTCAGCCCTGGTGAATGGCTACACGTAAAATAGTAGCATACGCATAAAAATAAACAAATATATATTTTGTTATGTATAAATCGACCATAGCTTCTTTCTGGTCTTGCAAAGAAACTAGCCATGTGAGGATGAACATAATTGATGCCAAAGCAGAATACAAATACATGAGATAAGAAGAAACAAGGGGGAAGAAAAGCTTGGGAATTGCTTAAAGGCAGATGATATATTTGACAAAAAAAGGTATCCTGATCCAGTTGCTTTGAGATATGAAGTATAATGACATTTTGCAAAAAGCCAGAGAATTCCAAGTGTCAAAACATATATACACGCGCACACACATATCACAATAATAGACCGGGATACACAATATAGATATAGAGAGGATAGACAGGTATATAATCTTATATTATATATAATATAAATCTACACACGTATATATACATTTTCCTGGGTGTTCATATGGAAAAATGAAATAAAACATTCTCAAACCTCTTAAATTCTGTTTTTAATTCAGAACAAAATGCTTTGAAAGTCTGTTAGCCAAAGGGCAAACTTTTTTTTTTTTAATGTATATTTATTTTTGGAGAGACAGAAAGACAGAGAGACAGAATGCAAGCTGGGGAGGGGCAGAGAGAGAGGGAGCCACACAATCCGAAGCAGACTCCAAGCTCTGAGCTGTCAGCACAGAGCCCGACGCGGGGCTCGAACTTACGAACAGTAAGATCATGACCTGAGCTGAAGCTGGACGCTTAACCGACTGAGCCACTCAGGCGCCCCCAAAGTGCAAACTTTTGAAGGTTTACAGCAAGGGCAAGCAGAGAAAGGTCAATAAATTCTAATCCTTTAACGTATTTTGTATTTGAAAGCTTTTATAACGAAATTAATATAGTATTCTATATTATAACTCCATAAGCTAGTTGAATGGAAAACAAAGCTTAATATGCCCAAGATAATATAAGAGACGATATATTGAATTATAGCCTCTCTACAGACTAAAAGTAAAGCCAAATACACAACTGCAGGAGGGAAAGCCAGAAATGCCCAGCCATCAAATCGGAAGGCAGAAAATCGTATTATTCCTATAATAAAAATGTGAAATTCCAATCTTTCAAGTGAATGCCTAATAACCCCTGATTAAAAGATGACGTTATATTTCAAAATCGTTTCCCTCTCGGGGCGCTCGGGGCGCCTGGGTGGCTCGGTCGGTTCAGCATCCAACTTCAGCTCAGGTCACGATCTCGCGGTCCGTGAGTTCGAGCCCCGCGTCGGGCTCTGTGCGGACGGCTGGGAGCCTGGAGCCCATTTCGGATTCTGTGTCTCCCTCTCTCTCTGCCCCTCCCCCACTCGTGCTCTGTCTCTGTCTCAAAAATAAATAAACGTTAAAAAAAAATTCAAACGTTTCCCTCTCTCAGATATACCTGGATGCGACATGGAATCAAATGCATTTATGGGAAAGAGGTATGAAAAGAAATGCACACGACACGTAGCTCTTTCTCTTACCATTGTCGCCAGAAGGTAATGACACAGTGTTTGTTGGTGCTGCCTCCGAATTCACTTTTCCGTTCTCAAATGTGTCGTTTTCGGGCTGCTGCAGCTGCCAGTTGAGGCCAAAGAGATGCATCGCTGGGGGTAAAGAATGCGAGTTGTTGAAAAGTCTTGTTTTTAGCTAGGACGGCACATGGTGAGCATGTTTACAACAGGATTCGTACGTAACGTTAACACCTCCGTGTTCCGAAATACCAAAGATGATTGTGTTGCAACAGTTAGAAAATAAACAGCTTCTAAAACAATCGCAGTGTAGGTATCACTGCAGCACAATATTGGTACCAGAAAACTCTGGGGAATGAATCTCTATGTGCTCTGCTTTGTCCGAGTTCCACTCCTCACCATCGCGGAGGTAAGGGGTAAAGTGCTCTGCAGTGACATCTGCTAAACTTGCCTGACCTCAGGCCATTTGCACATGTCGAAACCTTCGTTGCAACATCCTTATATTCTCAAGAAACATGACGCTACTCATTTGGACTAAGGTAAAAAGTAACTACTGGTCTCACCGATAAATTTGCTGGCCTACGAAATGATCAGAATGGATTTAGATGCACAAAACAGAGTAACACTGGACTATTCTAAATTTAAGACGAGTTTATGACATTCCATTAAAAAATGGCATGGATGACGTAACATGTTATGTGTCAGGTAATTTCAGGTAGAGTTTCTGATGTGGGTATGATAAGCTTGCAAATTTATGAAAACTTTGTAAATGTGTTTACTGATTTTCTTTATTTAAAATATTTAGAAAGTAGATGACTATACGACTTTATAATCATAAATTTATAAATGTAATAGAATTTGAAAAATTTTATTTTTAATATATTTGAAATATTCAGAACAATCACTGTAATAATACTGACTGCTAACACTCAACTAAACATTCATTGGTGTTCCACAGAATACAGTTTCAGAATTAATCCCCAAGGAGGCTAAATATCCACAGGGAGACACAGTTGTAGTCACGATACGTATTGGAATTTACGAGAGAGGTGAAGAAAGACATAGTGTTTAAGAAGTATTGTTAGACACAGCATGATAACTACCACTGTCAAAAGGCAAGCCCTTATTAAATATGCAACATATGTAGTAACACAATTATACTGGCACAGTGGAAAGAAGAGGGGTTTAGATGTTAGATTTTGGTTTAATCCTCAATTTGGGATTAAATGATGTAATACTGTTAATACTAGTTTTACTTAGAAAATGAGGTTGGTCCTTACTTAATAGATATGAACTTTCTAGATGGTATAGGTCTATGGGGGCATATGATGGACAGTTAGTTAATACATAGCAGGACAGCTCCTAGTACTTAAGTATTTCATTTATTTATTCTGTACTCTACTGAACTATATGAAGTCACCTGACCAGACCATGGAACCTCTCAACATATAGTCCCTTCTGTCTGTAATGCTCACCATCCACTGTAAAATATCCATTCATCACTCAGATGGTAGGCACCAACGATGTGGGGAAGCCGTCTCTGACTGGGCCGACCATCTCTGTCAAGACCATTTTCATTTACTTTTGTATCTCATGTACCTTATACGTAGGAAGTCTTAATAAGTGCCTGTCAAGTTCATGAAATCTATGTTCTGAGGTTTCAAAATCAAGAAAACAGTTGTGGATGAAAACACAGCAATTTAAAGGAAAAGTTAATAATATAAAAGAAGTAAGTGGATAAGAGTAGGGTGTTATATTATTAGTGAGTGATTAACGACTGCATTAGCATAACAGTATACGAAAAGTATATAGTATATAATAGTATATGAAAATAGTATATGAAAGTCCCCTAGTACCATATACAATTAAAGTTAAAAGATTCAACAGTTTGATTTGAAAAGATTTCAACACTCTACAAGTTTCGCCATCTTTCATTAACAATACCTGAAATACAATCATAATAAGTGATTGTATAATAATATACAAACATAATAATACAATAATATATTATATTATTATAATATATATAATATATTATCATTATATCATATATATCATATATAATATATGATCATATATATATCAATATATATCATATATATGATAATAATATATGTATCAATATATATATCAATCAATATGTATATCAATGTATATCAATATATATCTATATATCAATATATATATCAATATATATCAATATATATCATATATATGATAATAATATACAAACATAACCCTAATAAGAAACACAGCAAACAGATACACACAGAGCTACATCTACCCTGTATATCTGTAAAATGTATATACTCCCCTCTCGAATTATAATCTGCCAGCAACTCCTTTCAAACTCTGGTTTTTCAAGGATTAAGATATACGTTATAGAATCCTTGAATTCAAAAACTGTCAACTTGTAAGGAAGTATAGCTTCACATGTCATTTTGCATTAAATTGCTTAGTATTTGAGCGGCAAAATGTCAGGAGCTTTCTAAACATTTATTGCTTCGTATGTTTTTCAAGGTTTCAGATATTTCAGCAATTTTTCAATGAAATAATGGGAACTGGTCCTGCATACAGGAGAAGGTTTGACAGACGTACTTTGGCATGCCAATGATAAATATTCCGAAAGGGTCAAAGTTTCTCCACAAAATAATTTATCATCATCGTGGGCTTTTATGTAACATAAAAAGTCTCCCAGGATGATAGATTTGCTTATATTATTGGTTTTAATAGACTTTGAAGTCAAAAGAGAGAGAGAGACTCAAGAGAGAGAATCAACGGAAACTGCACAATGTCAAATATTAGAAAGTGATCTTATGTGTGTGTTTGGAGAGTGATTTTATTTTATTTTGGTTTTTTTTTTTTGCAATTTTTTTGTTTTATTTTTTTAGGCAATAGCTTTCTCATATATATTTTTCTTACAGAAAATCTCAATAAAATGAAATTCCATTTCTACTTAAGATGTTGTATAATGAGAACCCTGCCCAGTAATATTACATCTCTTAACATCGCATTGAAAACAGAGACCAACAAGTTGTTTGGTCTTGGGGTATTATGTACTTTGAAAATCTTGGGCGTTTGGTATTGAGTGATGCTCTTGACGCTCATTACGTGTAACTTGAGATTTTTATACAAATACAGGGTGTTAGTCAGACTGACTCCAAAAATGACAGAGGCAAAGGCAGAGGCAGCAAACTCATAAAAGTCAAAAATGCGATAGAAATTACTGAGCACTGGTGCAATAAAACTCTGTGGGAAGTCTTGGCAGACAAAGGCAGGGAAAATCGGTGAAATAAACTACATATGCAAATAAAGGTGGATGAGCTAATCCTTCAATGCCTGAGCTGGAAAGCACGTTTGAAGCCATGGGAAGGCGTCTGGTGCCACTACTCATGAAGGGTAAAATCAATCCTTGATTTATGCATGAGCCAGTGGGGGGGCAGGGGGTGGTCCAGAAGTGGCTGGGAGCTAGCTCTGTGCTCTTGTGAGCCCCTCACCCCCCGGGCAGAGAGCTTAGGTGGGCAAGCCTGCACACAGTGTTCCTTGTGTTGGTGTTAGATCTCTTTTTAAAGAAAACATTCACTGGACATTTACTATGTGTCAAATGTGTGTTACTGCCTCACCTGTTTTATCTCCCTGAATCTTCACAAAGACCCCACTTAATACTATTTTTTTTTTCATTTTAAATCTGAGAAAATTGAGGCTTTTAAAAATATTTTTCAGAGAAAGAGAGAGAGAGAGAGTGAGAAGGGTAGGGGCAGACAGAGAGGGAGGGAGAGGGAGAGAGAGAGAGAGAGAGAGAGAGAGAGAGAGAGAGAGAGAAAGAGAATCCCAAGCAGGCTCCACACTGTCAGTGCAGAGCCTGGTGCAGGGCTTGATCTCACGAACAGAACTGTGAGATCATGACCTGAGCAGAAATCGAGAGTCTGATGCTTAACCAACTGAACCACCCAGGCACTCCGAAAACTGAGGCTTTTTGAGAGTTTTAGGTTTCAAGCAGGTCAACAGTGGACGTTGCCCTTAAACCCAGACCTGGAGGACAGGCATTCCACAACATGCCTGTCCTCTCTTCTACCGGGGGGCAGTGGAATGTGAAAATCCACGCAGAAGGAGGTGAAATGTGACTTTTGTGGGGGCCGCAGGCTAGACAATGTTTTCTACTAGATCTAGAAAACTGAAGGCAGAGATAGTATCTGACGGCGGAGGATGGGCAAAGATATTAATAAGGAACATTTGTGTATTCCAGGCACAGTTCTTCTGTATGAGTACTTTTCACTGTACTATATTCTCTTTTTGAGGAGAATAATTTACAGTAATAGGATAATGATGGAATTAACAACGGGCTATTGCGGTTAACTCTAAGAGTCTGAAAAACAGCGATTTAAAAACTACATGTAAACGCTACATTTGTGTATTTCAAAGTTACAGAAAGAGCATTCATGTAGCTTTAACCTTAAAAAATTCATTTCTGATATCTTGTTTCACAGTTTTATATTGCTATTTCCATGTATTTCTGGGCGGTTTTAATGAGGGGCGGGGGCTGGATTCATATCTAAAATGTTACTCAAGGAAGAATGGAATTTGTGAATGGCAGCAGTAACTATATGTCTGCTCGAGTGTGTTTTTTTATATTTTAAAATACTTTGATGTCTATTATCTTCCAATAATGTACTGCCTGACGGGGGTCATTATCCCTGTTGTGAGTGAAACACAGGCAGAGAGAGGGTTAGTGACTTACCCAATGTTTTTTAAAAAGTTAGTGCAGGGGCGCCTGGGTGGCGCAGTCGGTTAAGCGTCCGACTTCAGCCAGGTCACGATCTCGCGGTCCGTAAGTTCGAGCCCCGCGTCAGGCTCTGGGCTGATGGCTCCGAGCCTGGAGCCTGTTTCCGATTCTGTGTCTCCCTCTCTCTCTGCCCCTCCCCCATTCATGCTCTGTCTCTCTCTGTCCCAAAAATAAATAAACGTTGAAAAAAAAATTCTTTAAAAAAATAAAAAGTTAGCGTAGAAAGACAACTCATGATACGAGATCTCTTGACCCAATTTCAGGACTTCTCTTCCTATACTGTGCTGTTTTCCTTCTGAATTGTTCTGAATTAAAACTGAGCATTCACATTAAAGAAATTAAAAAGAAACTT